TACATGAGAGCCATGTGTAACTTAGGGCCTTTTACTCTCGCACTTAAGACCTGGCTTTTTACTAGAGCATTCGATCTCTGTTAATTTTTAATTTCTGTATGTATGTATTTTATCTTTTACAATTTAGCTGTAAATCGCCTAGAGCATTCTCGGATGGAGGGCGATTAATAAGTAATTAAATATGATGATGATGATGATTATTATTATTTATTTACTTCATTTATATACCGCTTTTCTCAGCCCTTGGGCGACTCATAGTATTTTGTATATTCTGGTGTTGTATATATATATATGGGTTCTTGTGGGTTTTTTCGGCTATAGCCATGTTCTAGAGGCATTTCTCCTGAAGTTTCGCCTGCATCTATGGCAAGCATCCTCAGAGGTAGTGAGGTCTGTTGGAACTAGGAAAAAGGGTTTATATATCTGTGGAATGACCAGGGTGGGACAAAGGACTCTTGTCTGCTGGAGCTAGGTGTGAATGTTTCAACTGATCACCTTCATTAGCATTTGAAGGCCTGCCTGAGCCTGGGAAAATCTGTTGCTGGGAGGTGTTAATCTGTGCCTGGTTTTTTTCCTCTCTGTTGTTTAGCTGTTATAATTTTAGAGTTTTTAAATACTGGTAGCCAGATTTTGTTCATTTTCATGGTCTCTTCCTTTCTGTTGAAATTGTCCACATGCTTGTGGATTTCAATGGCTTCTCTGTGTAGTCTGACATGGTGGTTGTTGGTGTGGTCCAGCATTTCTGTGTTCTCAAATAATATGCTGTGTCCAGGCTGGTTCATCAGGGGCTCTGCTATGGCTGACTTCTCTGGTTGAAGTAGTCTGCAGTGCCTTTCATGTTCCTTGATTCGTGTTTGGGCAAAGCTGCGTTTGGTGGTCCCTATGTAGACTTGTCCACAGCTGCATGTTATATGGTAGACTCCTGCAGAGGTGAGAGGATCCCTCTTGTCCTTTGCTGAACGTAGCATTTGTTGGATTTTCTTGGTGGGTCTGTAGATTGTTTGTATGTTGTGTTTCCTCATCAGCTTCCCTATGCGGTCAGTGGTTCCCTTGATGTATGGCAGGAACACTTTTCCTCTGGGTGGATCTTCATCTTGACTCTCGTGGCTTGTTCTCGGTCTTGCAGCTCTTCTGATGTCTGAGGTGGAGTCTCCATTGGCCTGGAGAGCCCAGTTGAGGTGGTTCAGTTCATCTTGGAGGAGGTGGGGTTCGCAGATTCTTTTTGCATGGCCTGCCAAGGCTTAATGGTGCTTCTTTTTTGACTTGGGTGATGGTTGGAGTTTTTATGTAGATATCTATCTGTGTGTGTGGGTTTTCTGTAGACGGTGTGACCCAATTGTTGATCTGGTTTGCGGATGACTAGGACATCTAGAAAAGGCAGTCTTCCTTCATTTTCTTTTTCCATGGTGAACTGGATGTTTGGGTGGATGCTGTTAAGATGGTCCAGGAACCTGTTGAGTTCTTCTTCTCCATGGCTCCAAATGGTGAAGGTGTCATCCACATATCTGAACCATATCGTGGGCTTTTTGGTTGCTGTTTCCAGGGCTTGTTCTTCAAAATGTTCCATGTAGAAGTTAGCTATGACCGGGCTGAGAGGGCTCCCCATAGCTACTCCATCTTTCTGTTCGTAGAATTCATTGTCCCACTGAAAGTAACTGGTGGTAAGGCAATGGTGAAACAGAGCCGTGATGTCTTCTGGGAACCTCTGGTTGATGAGTGCCATGGTGTCTGCTACCGGGACCATGGTAAATAGAGATACCACATCGAAGCTGATCAGTTTGTCGTTTGTATTTAGCTTGAGATTGCTGATTTTTTCTATGAAGTGGGCTGAGTCCTTGATGTAGTGTGTAGTGAGCCCAATATGGCTTTGTAACTGTGCAGCAAGAAATTCTTGCTAAGTCATACATGGGGGATCCAATGGCACTCACTATAGGTCTGAGTGGGGTGGAGTCCTTATGGATTTTTGGGAGTCCATTAAGCCTAGGTGGAAGGGCTTCCGATTTACATAGCTGTTGATGTAACCAGAGAAGTCAGCCATAGCTGAGCACCTGAGGAACCAACCTGGACACAGCATGTTATTGGAGAACACAGAAATGGTGGACCACGTGGTTTTGTGTATGCATTGTAATGTTATTTTTTTGCTTTTTAAGTATCTTCTGTTGTGTTTTTCAGTGTTTTTATGAGTGATGGTCACTCGTTGGCCTGAGAGGTGTCTTGTGTCCAAATTTGGTGTCCGTTCGTCCAGTGGTTTTTGAGTTATGTTAATCCCACAAACACACATTACATTTTTATTTATATAGATTACTAGCCATCCCCTGCCATGCGTTGCTGTGGCCCAGTGTGTGTATATGTGTTTTGTGTGTGTATATATGTGTATATGTGTGTATTTATATATTTGTGTATATGTATATTTATGTGGTTATGCGCATGCGTTGTAATGTAGGTTTTTTTGACTTTTTTTGGCTGTGTTTTTCAGTGTTTTTATGAGTGACTGTGGCCAAACCTTCCCTCTCTCTCTCTCTCTCTTTCTTTCTTTCTTTCCTTTCTCTCTCCTTCCTTCCCTCTTTTTCTTTTCCTTCTTTCCCTTTTTCTTTCTTCCTTCTCTACATGTTTCTTTCCTCCCTTCCTTTGCTCTTTGGTTCCTTCCTTCCCTCCCTCTTTCTCTATTTTTTTCTTCTCTCCTTCCTTCCTTCTCTCTTTCCTTCCTTCTTTCACTTTTTTATTCCCTTCTCTCCTTCCTTCCTTCACTACCTTTCTTTCCTTCTCTCCTTCCCTCCTTCTTTCCCTCTTTCTATCCCTCCTTTCCTCCTTCCTTTCCCTTTTCTGTGTATATGTGTTTTGTATGTATTTATATGCATATATGTGTATATATATATTTGTTTATGTGTGTTTGTGTATATATGTGGTTTTGCGTATGCGTTGTAATGGTTTTTGGGGTTTTTTTTTTGCTTTTTAAGTCTCTTCTCCTGTGTTTTCCAGTGTTTTTATGAGTGATGATCACTCGTTGGCCTGAGAGGTGTCTTGTGTCCAAATTTGGTGTCAGTTCATCCAGTGGTTTTTGAGTTCTGTTAATCCCACAAACGAACATTACATTTTTATTTATATAGATTATTATTGCAACTAGGACAATAGATGCCAACCTTATGAGTAATGCCCCAGGTTTCGCCACCAAATGGGGACATCCACAGGCATCCCATTTTGGACCGGAAATCAGGGATTATCCTGATCTGACAATCTTAATCCCCAAACTATTTCATAAGCGGAAACCTCAACCAATAATTATTACTCTGATGAGTGATATTGGCTAACAAGGAAGTCAAACAAAACTCAAATGATTCCTCCTTCAAAAAGTCACTGGACATCACATGTTTAACATGGTATTTATTACGTCAGGTTTTCCCGTCATCAGCATACAAAGCTTCTAGTCATATGCAAAAGACTTGTTTCCCCCTACTTAATATAAAAATGGTTACATTGACTGTTGACTTATCTTTACTACTGTAATTTGCTAATCAAGGTGGCCAGCTAACACATCCCAACAAAGGACCCCCCCCCCCAGAAGCAACCAGCCAGGCTTCGAAACTGCAAGGCCATTCAGTGCTAATCATGGTGGCCAATTACAACATTCACATTTGCCTCAAGCAGACAAAGAGTTCTTTCTCCCACCCTGGACATTATTCCACGGATATATAAACCCCACTTGCCTAGTTTCCAACACACCTCACAAGCTCTGGGGATGGCTGCTATAGATGTGGGTGAAACGTCAGGAGAGAATGCTGCTAGAACATGGCCAGAGAGCCTGGAAAACTCACAGCAATTCCAGCCACAAAAGCCTTCAATAACACAAAGTAGACATGTTTGTTTATCTGTTTGTACAACAAAGATCGTTCCTAGGTGAAGTGGCCCTCTGTGATGCCACCTGATTGGCTGTTGCTAGGTGAAGTGGCCCTTTAGTGATATCACTGGGAAAGAAAAGTGACATGTGTATGAAGGTAGGAAGGAAAGAAAGAAAGAGAAAACGTAGCAAACAAAGAGAAGGAAAGAAGGAAGAAAAAGAAGGGAAGGAGGGAAATAAGAGAGAAAAAGAAGGGGAAAGAAGGGAAGGAAGTGAAAAGGAAAGAAAGAAAGTGAAAATGTAGCAAACAAAGGAAAACAGTTGGAAGGGAAGGAGGGATGGAGAAGAAAGAAAAAGGTGAGAGAGAGAAGGAAGGAAAAGAAGGGAAGGAGGGAGATAAGAGAAAAAGAAGGGAAGGAAGGAAATGAAAAGGAAAGAAAGTTAAAATCTAGCAAACAAAGGAAAACAGTAGGAAGGGAGGGAGAAGAAAGGAAAAGGTGAGAGAGAGAAGGAAGGAAAAGAAGGGAAGGAGGGAAATAAGAGAAAAAGAAGGGAAGGAAATGAAAAGGAAAGAAAGTGAAAATGTAGCAAACAGGAAAACAGTAGGAAGGGAGGGATGGAGAAGAAAGAAAAAGGTGAGAGGAGGAAGGAAAAGAAGGGAAGGAGGGAGATAAGAGAGAAAAAGAAGGGAAGGAAGTAAATGGAAAGGAAAGAAAGTGAAAATGTAGCAAACAAAGGAAAACAGTAGGAAGGGAGGGAGAAGAAAGGAAAAGGTGAGAGAGAGAAGGAAGGAAAAGAAGGGAAGGAGGGAGATAAGAGAGAAAAAGAAGGAGAGAGAAAAAAGGAAGGAAGTGAAAAGAAAAGGAAAGAGAGGGAAGGTGTATGATGAAAAGCAAGGGAAGAAAGGAAAATAAGAGAGAGGGAGAAAGGAAAGAAAGAGTCACAAAGAGAGCCTACCCATCGTTGCCAGAGCATTGCCATGGAAATATTGTGAGCTAAACCCTTTCAGAGCTGGAGAAGGGAGGAAGCAGGCACCCTTGAGAACAATGGGAATATGCGCTAGTACAATAGTATGTCTCATGTTGAACTTTACGGCACGACTTTCAAGGAGTCATGACTGCAAGCATTGAACAAAGAAGTATTGGATAGACTCCACATAAATGAAGGCAACTTGGAAAAGATGCATGCTACACCCAGATGTCGGAGGTGCAGTCCCCACCGGGATAGCGCATCTCATGCGCCCGAGCCGGACCGAATGGTTCTTGCCCGAAATCCACCAGGAATTCTCGGTTCACGCAAAGGCCGCCATGCTCGGTGTCCACATCCAGCTGGATCATGACCGAACCTCCCCTGGAAAAGACATAATGCGGGGCGAAAGTCACGGTTGTGTGCCATCGAGTTGTTTCCAACCCATGGCCACCTAATCATGAGGTTTTCTGGGATGGATATAAACAGAAGAGGCCTTCCTGTGAGGATGAGAGAGTGTGACTTATCAGCGTAATGTCAATATATAGTGTTCCCTCGCTGTTTCGCGGTTCGCTTTCTGCGGACTCGCTGTTTCGCGGTAAGGGTTGAGAATTAATCTATATAAATAAAAATGTAATGTTCGTTTGTGGGATTAACAGAACTCAAAAACCACTGGACGAATTGATACCAAATTTGGACACAAGACACCTAACAACCCAATGTATATCCTTCACTAAAAAAAATGATTTTGTCATTTGGGAGTTGTAGTTGCTGGGATTTATAGTTCACCTACAATCAAAGAACATTCTGAACTCCACCAATTATGGAATTGAACCAAACTTGGCACACAGTTCTCCCATGACCAACAGAAAATACTGGAAGGGTTTGTTGGGCAGTCTCTTGGTTTTGGAGTTGTAGTTTACCTACATCCAGAGAGCACTGTGGACTCAAATAATGATGGATCTGGACCAAACTCTACAAGAATACTCAATATGTCCAAATGTAAACACTGGTGGAGTTTGGGGGAAATACAATCTTGACATTTGGGAGTTGTAGTTGCTGGGATTTATAGTTCACCTACAATCACAGCGTATTCTGAACCCTACCAACAATAGAATTGGGCCAAACCTCCCACACAGAACCCCCATGTGGGCCACAGCAACACATGGCAGAGGACGGGTAGTATTTTTTAATATATGTGTATACATTTTGTGGTTTTAAAATCACAAAATGTATAAACATATGTTAAAAATATTAATTCTCAACCCTCTCCACTAAACAGTAAGTGCGCGAAACAGCGAGGGAACACTACAGTGCTCCCTCCCTACTTCGCGGTTCGCTTATTGCGGACTCACTTTCGCGGATTTCAAAAAATATTAATTTAAAATATATATCATGGTGTTTTGACTGTTTTGTGGGGTTTTGCCACCACCGCTCTCTCTTCAGTCCTCCCTCCCTCCAGCCTTGAAGGGTCTTTCCTTCCTTTCCTTCACTTTATTTTAAGTTTATAAAGACTTAATATCGTGTTTAACTACTAAAATAATGTATAAATATTAAAATAAATTGTGCGTCCCTACATCGCGGTTTTTCACTTATTGCGGGAGGTCCTGGAACGTAACCCCAGCAATAAGTATGGGAACACTGTATATTGACATTACACTGATAAGTCACACTCTCTCAGCCCCCGCAGGGCTGCCTTGGAAAGGCTACCGTGGCAAGGTGGGGAAGCTGGCAGGGCCTGCCGCTGGTGGGCAAGGGCTAACTTCCTCACTTCACCCCGACAGCTGTCCTGGGCCTCTGGTGGCCTCCGCAGGGATCCCGAGGCAAGGTGGGAAAGCTGGCCCTGGCCAATCCAGGGGCGGGGCGGGGCCTGCTGCTGGTTGGCCAGCTGACCAAGCAGCGGGAAACTTCCCGCCACAAAGGGGACTTCTGGGAAGATGAACCCCTCTGCAAGCAGTATGGTCGGCGGGTGGGTGCCCACTGTCACAACGGCCCTTACCCGGTAAGTCGGGCAAGGCATTCCTGATATTAAACCAATGTATAAAATATATATAAATGTATATTAGTGTCCCTACTTTGCGGATTTTCACTTATCGCGGGAAGTTGTCCCGAGTTTCCCCTTCAAAACGGCCTTAATATAATGTTGAAAGTAAAAGAAAAATGCTTTACTTCAGCAGACACGAAGGATAAGCAAATGCAATTGAAAAGTGCAAAAGAAAGCAAGGAAGTCTTAATCCAGACACAAATTAAAGTCTCTTACACAATCCCAAAAGAATCGGCAGTCTTCCATCAGACAACAGGCAATGATCACTAAGTCTTTAGCAGCAGACACAAAGCCGATTCCATTGGAGTGAAAACATCAGTATCAGGGTTGTTGTTACCAGCGAAAGCTGGCTGCTCCTGCTACTGATTTATAGCCATGAATTCCCCACGCAGGAGGAGCTAGGGCGTCTCCCAATTAGCTCGGCGCTTTTAGCAGCTATCCTAGCTGAACGCCGTCTGTGCTCTGTCTCTATTAGTCTCTCTAGAAATGTGGGCACTTTCAAAACCTCATTGCCTGATTCTTCTTCTGCCTCCAGTTCCTGAGCACTTCCCTGCTCCCCTTCCTCTTCCAAAGATGAGGAATCCCTAACAGAAGTCCTGGAACGGAACCCCCACAATAAGTGAGGGAACACTATATACACTAGCCATCCCCTGCCACGCGTTGCTGTGGCCCACTCTGGTGGTCATAGGGGGTTCTGTGTGGGAGGTTTGGCCCAATTCTATCGTTGGTGGGGTTCATAATGCTCTGTGATTGTAGGTGAACTACAACTCCCAAATGTCAAGATTCTATTTTCCCCAAACTCCACCAGTGTTCACATTTGGGCCTATTGAGTATTTGTGTAATTTGGTCCAGATCCATCATTGTTTGAGTCCACAGTTCTCTCTGGATTTAGGTGAACTACAACTCCAAAACCAAAGGGCACTGTGCACCAAACCCTTCCAGTATTTTCTGTTGGTCATGGGAGAACTGTGTGCCAAGTTTGGTTCAATTCCATCGTTGGTGGGGTTCAGAATGTTCTTTGATTGTAGGTGAACTATAAATCCCAGCAACTACAACTCCCAATGGACAAAATCAATTTTTTTGAGTGAAGGACATACATTGGGTTGTTAGGTGTCTTGTGTCCAAATTTGGTGTCAATTCATCATATGGTTTTTGAGTTCTGTTAATCCCACAAACGAACATTACATTTTTATTTATATAGATGTTTAAAATGTCCATGCTGCTAGCTATGAAGGAGTTAATTTGTGGAACATTTTGAAACATGTGTGGAACAGACAAGGAAGATGTCTGGACACTAGAAGGCTGGACACAGAATTAATGAGCGGATGACAGTGGGGTATAAATAGAACAGATGCCATTACTCTGTCTCTTGGCTCTTCTCCCTTGCTAAGTGTTATTGCAACGAGTGACTAAATAGAAGAGCCGCTACTGAAGCAGAAACAACTGTCTGAAGATGAGAAGCAAGTTGGCCGCTCTTACTTGACCATCTCAGGATAAAACTGCTTGTCCCAAGGCGTGTAAAGAGAGGTGGTGACGAAGAGACGGCGGCCGTCCAAGCTCAGCTGCAGCATTTGAGGCCCTCCTTGGACCTTCTTGCCCTAAAGACCCCGGGGAAGAAATCACCCCAAGGTTAGGAAACATGTCAAAAGGACCAGGAAACATGGAAATACGGAAAGGCCAGTTTTCTCAGCAGGCTTCTCTAAATGACTGCAGGAAGTGGATTTCTATTCAGAAACCAAAATCTCCGAAACCCAAATCCGCCCAGTTCACCATCCGTTTCAGACCTTACCTGGATCACAAAGGGATCGGGTTGGGAGTCCAGCTCCGGATCCTCAAGGACGGTTACAGGACCCCCTTTTGCAATGCTTCCCCCCACAAAGACCTAAAGATCCCAAAGAGACACGGTCAGTTATGCACGGAAAACAAGGGGAGTGAATAAATTGGGGGTCCCTGACCTTTTACAACAGCCCCCATTACCCCCAACCCCTAAGTTATAGGATCCATCATCTGGAAACATATAAGAAGAGAAGGTTGCAAGCTTACCTGCCCAACCAGTTTGGGACAGTGCGGGTTGGTGATATCGTATTGCCGGACATCGCCATGCACCCAGTTGCTTAAGTAGAGGAACCGGTCATTCAGGGAGATGACGATATCGACAATGAATCCTTGAAGAGGAGCAGGGTCATTGAGTCACAGGAGACCCCAAGGAACATCCAATTAAACCCCCTTCTGCCAGGCTTTCTTGTTACTTACCTGGCATTTCGGGAAAGGTCCATCCCGATACTTTCTTGTTCGGGACTTGGATCACTTTCTCAGCCGTCCAGCATCCGTCCTGCAGGGAAAGCCAAATTGACCAATGAGGTGGCCAGAAAAATGAGCTTCTTCTCACACCCAAGTTACACTGGAGCTTCCCACACAATGGTCTTCAGCCTGGGGCTTCTCTCAAAGAAGCTTCTCACACCAGGCCATCTCATACTAACCTCACACTGAGGCCTTTCTCACACTGAGGCTTCTCAACACTGAGGGCTCTCTCAGACTGGCCATCCTCCCTAACCCTAACCCTTTCCCTTTTTCACCTCTGTCTTGAAGAAATGGTGGATGGAGCTCTCCAGGGTGCAGCCCACGAAACCGTGGGTCGAGTCAGGGTTGTGCAAGAAGCGGATCTCCAGTGGGGCCGAATCTTCACCCACGTCAATCGACTTCAGGAGGCGGTGGGTGGTCCAGTCCCAGATGTTGAGGTAGCGGCCGTAGCGGTCTACAGACAAACACGATCCAGGATTATTTCAAGTCTGACCAAAGCGGAACAGAGTGGGACTATGACTGTCAGAAATATTAAAAATTAACTCGGTATTTTGAATTACAAAAATGTGAGTCAAGCACTGAAAGGGTTAAATGGATACAATGACTCAGCAAAAGCTGCCATTCAATATAAGCAGGTGTGCCTATCACTTAGTGGCCCTCAGTCTGTGAGAGGTCTCTGTGGGAGAAAGGCCTCAGTGTGTTAGTGGGCCTCAGTTTGTTAGTAGGACTCAGCATGAGGCCTCAGCGTTAATTCATCTCAGTGTGAGAGAGGTGTCAGTCTGAGAGAGACCTCAGTGTTAGTTCATCTCAGTGTGAGAGAGGTGTCAGTCTGAGAGAGCCCGCAGTGTTAGTTCGTTTCAGTGTGAGAGAGGTGTCAGTCTGAGAGAGCCCTCAGTGTGAGAAGGCCTCAGTGTTAGTTCTTCTCAGTGTGAGAGAGGTGTCAGCCTGAGAGAGCCCACAGCATAATAAGGCCTCAGTGTTAGTTTGTCTCAGTGTGAGAGAGGTGTCAGTCTGAGAGAGCACTCAGTGTGAGAAAGCCTCAGTGCTAGTTCATCTCAGTGTGAGAGAGGTCAGTCCGAGAGAGCCCTCAGTGTGAGAAGGTGCCCTGATTTGCCCTTCAAGAGCAGCCTTAATACAACATAGAAAGTAAAAAATGCTTTGCTTCAGCAAACACAAAAGAACAGCAAATGCAGTTGAAAATGCAAAAGAAAGCAAGGAAGACTTAATGCAGACACAAAACTAAAGTCTCGGATAAAGTCCAAAAGAAACAGCAGTCTTGCATCAGACAACAGGCAATGATCACTAAATCCTTAGAAGCAGACTCGAAGCAGGTTAAATTGAAGCGAAAACATCAGCATCAGAGTCATTGTTACGAGCGAAAGCTAACTGCTCCTGCTTCTGATTAATAGCCCTGAATTCCCCACATAGGATTTGCTAGGGAGGCTCCCAATTACCTCGGCATTTCTAGCAGATATTCTAGCTGGACGCCATCTGTGCTGTGTTTCCTTTCGCCTCTCCAGAAATGTGGGCATTTGTAAAACCTCATTGTCTGATTCCCCTTCCCCCTCCAATTCCTGAGCACTTCCCTGCTTCCCTTTATTATTTATTTATTTATTTCCTATATTTATACCTCACCCTTCTCCCCCCGAAAGATGAGGAATCCCTAACAGAAGGCCTCAGTGTTAGTTCGTCTCAGTGTGAGAGAGGTGTCAGTTTGAGAGAACCCTCAGTGTGAGAAGGCCTCAGTGGGAGAAAGGCCTCAGTGTTACAATGAGAAGGCCTGGTGTGAGAAGCTTCTCTGAGAGAAGCCCAGGTTGAAGACCATCGTGTAGGAAGCTCCAGTGTGAAGGCTGCTGTGTGTAAAGCTCCTGTGTGAAGCTCCTGTGTAACTCTCTGTGAGAGCGAAGCTGTTTAGCTGCATAAGAAGCCCAGCATGGAAGCAAAGAAGGAAGTATAAAGAACTTTGTTCATGTTATGGAAGCCTTGTTGTTGTAAATAGTGCAACCATATTTTTTTGCTACAAAGAAAAGCCTCCTAAGGAAGAGATAATAACATTGGCCTGTGTGTTTTTGTTCTTCTTTATCCCTTTTGATTGGGTCATGCTGCTAATAAGTTACTCTGCTGTGACTTCCCTCAAACTGGATGCCATACTCCTTTTAATGCAGCCTAGAATCATATTGGCTTTTTAAGGTGCTGCATCCGACCGTTGGGTTGTATTCAGCTTGTGGTCCACTAGAACTCCTACATCCGTTCTCACCTTTTCTCAAATCTTCTGTTTTGAACCCGTTGATAAAGAACTTGGGCTCCCCCCATTCGGTGGTGATCAGGACGTTGTGCCGTGGCTGGTACCAGAAGTCATACATTTGGACGGGTCCATCTTCCGGGCAGTCCCAGGTCCCTTTCACTTCCCAGGTTTCCGCGTCCAGAAGGAGAAGTCCACCTGGAGTTTGTTTATTTGCAAGAGCAATATTATTATTATTATTATTATTATTATTATTATTATTATTTATATCCAAATGATTGGGATTCAAGGCAGGTTACGTGTTAAAATACTGGCAGGTTTGGGGTATGTGTGTGGTTATCCCCTAATGTGGTGGGCTGGCTGGTTGTACCTATTCCGTTGCCAAACGCGTCTCCAATGCCGCTGATCATGACCTCTCCGCTGCCCAAGCAATGTGAGGTGTGCAAGAAACTCAAGTTGGTTTTCTGGATGATTTCTCGGGGCTCAATGATCTGTTGAGTGAGTTAGAAAGAGAGAAAACAGGTAATTTCATCATTCAGTCCTATGTAAGGCTCCCCCCAGCACCAATGGCTGCTCTGGGCCAGAGTGAAAAGAGAGGGGCCCAGGGGACGGTTCCATCTTGTCTCCTGCATATGTCATCAGTTGGGGACCACTCCCCCCAGCACCAATTGCTGCTCTGGAGCCAAAGTGAAGAAAGAGGGGGCCAGGGGACAGTTCCATCTTGTCTCCCACATATGTCATCACTTGGGGACCTCTGCCCCCAGCACCAATTGCTGCTCTGGGCCAGAATGAAGAGAGGGGGCCCAGGGGACGGTTCCATCTTGTCTCCTGCATATGTCATCAGTTGGGGACCCCTCTCCCCAGCACCAACCGCTGTCCTGGGCCAGAGTGAAGAGAGAGGGGGCCAGGGGACAGTTCCATCTTGTCTCCTGCATATGTCATCAGTTGGGGACCCTTCCCCAAGCACCAACTGCCGCTCTGGGCCAGAGTGAAGAGAGAGGGGACCAGGGGACAGTTTCATCTCAACCTTTCATATGTCATCAGTTGGGGACCCCTCCCCCACAGCACCAACTGCCGCTCTGGGCCAGAGTGAAGAGAGAGGGGGCCAGGGGACAGTTCCATCTTGTCTCCTGCATATGTCATCAGTTGGGGACCCCTTCCCCAGCACCAACTGCCGCTCTGGGCCAGAGTGAAGAGAGAGGGGGCCAGGGGACAGTTCCATCTTGTCTCCTGCATATGTCATCATTTGGGGACCCCTTCCCCCAGTACCAAGTGTGGCTCTGGGCCAGAATAAAGAGAGAGGGGGCCAGGGGACGGTTCCATCTTGTCTCCTACATATGTCATCAGTTGGGGACCCCCCCCCAGCACCAACTGCTGCTCTGGGCCAGAGTGAAGAGAGAGGGGGCCAGGGGACAGTTCCATCTTGTCTCCTACATATGGCATCAGTTGGGGACCCCTCACCCCAGGACCAACTGCTGCTCTGGGCCAGAGTGAAGAGAGAGGGGGTCAGGGGACAGTTCCACCTTGTCTCCTGCATATGCCATCAGTTGGGGACCTCTTCCCCCTAGCACCAGGTGCTGCTCTGGGCCAGAGTGAAGAGCGAGGGGGCCAGGGGACAGTTCCATCTTGTCTCTTGCCTATGCCATCAGTTGGGGGGCCCTCCCCCTAACACCAAGTCTGGCTCTGGGCCAGAATGAAGAGAGAGGGGCCAGGGGACAGTTACTAATATAATCTTCTATATTATAGCCTTAATGCAGCTTGATACCATTTTGATTGCCATGGATGAATGTTTTGGAATCCTGAGAGTTGTATTTTCACCTTCTCTGCCCAAATATGCTGCTCTTCATCAAACTACAACTCCCAGGACTCCATAGCATTGAGCCTTGAAGATTACAGTGATGCTGGACTATATTCATTCCACTGGTTGCTTCCCCATACAATTCCTTGACGTACTTTGCACAAGCTGGGAGCATACTGGTCAGTGCCCGTGTCCACCACATAAACGCGACCAGAGCCCAGGCATGGCAGGATGAGGCGGTTGCGTTCCTTGCTGGTGTCCCCGAAGCAGCTGCTGCAGGCGTTCCAACCCGAGTGGTGGAGTTCGTCATCCAAGTAAGGCATTTGCAGACGGTGGATAACCTGTCGTAAAGATGGGGAGGATGTGGCATTAAAAAAATAAATGATCAGTGAAAGACCAAATATGGGCTGCAAAATCCAATTCACTAAATATACAGATGGTGGAGCAAAAAATATCCAACCGACTCCAACTGCCACTGCCCTGGTCTCAGAGGGAAAGAAGATCAGGTGGGCACATCTCCATCATCATTCCTATATCCTGCAATGTCCTAAATCCTCCACCCTAACCTTGGAGGGGGAGAACAGGATGAGAAGCCCTTTCTCCACCTCAACAGCCACTGCCTTGGCCTTCAATGGAAAGAAGAGCAGCCAGGATGAAATGCCCTATCTCCATCCCACCTGTTATTGCCTGGCCTTCGAGGGAAAGAAGAGCAGCCAGGATGAAATACCCTTACTGCATCCCAGCTGCCATTGACCTGGCCTTCGAGGGAAAGAAGAGCAGCCATCCTACTGCTACTGCCCTGACCTTGGAGGGTGAAAAGAGCGGTCAGGATGAAATGCTCTTTCTCCATCCCAACTGCCATTGCCCTGGGTTTGGAGGGAGAGAAGAGCTGCCAGGACGAAATGCCCTTGTTCCATCCCAACTGTTCTGGTACGGCGGTACCAGGGGCTCCAACTTTATTTGCTTTATATTAAAGGTTTGCCTGCAATCCTAGGCTTGGAATTTTGCAGCAGAGTGGCTTCCTGTTAAAGTTTGCAGTTATAGGGCAAGCCACCTGTCCATTATCATTTAGCTTTGGTTCCGCCCATTAGTCTGGGCTCTGGGAAGAGAGAGGAACCATTTTGGTCGGTCACTCACAAGGAAGCCAGTCTATAGGCCGCAGATCAGTTTGTCCTGTAGGAAAGGCCTCATTCCTTAAGACCATCTGGGGACCATCCGGAAACCATCCAGGGATCATCCAGGGAAACAGAAGGAAAAGGTCCCAAAGGCTCTGGCTGAGAGCTCACAGCCTCACAGCACCAGAAGGAAAACAGCCCTGAAGTTCCCACAGGACAGCATTACAGAACCACTGGATTCCAGCTGAAGTATCATCAAGCCTTGGCTGGTAGGTTTACTCGATGCCCAGAAGCAGTTGGGATCAGTAGTAAGACCCAAATCAGCAAGGCCCAGATAATAGACAGCCTGGGAGAGATTATAAAGTGTTCTTCCTTATGCTAAGAAAGTACAGTTAATTTAAGTCAGTGCCAGTCTCTTAAAGACTAGAATAGAAAAGCCTTGAAGTGTTGTTTGAAGATTTGTTCCTTAATAAAGACTTTGTTGCACCATTAAAGACTCTAAAGCCCATTACTTCAGGAAATCTCTAAAAATCTCTCTTTGGGCACCCCGGCTTCCCACTGGGCTTAAAGTATACGTCCTATAGAATAAAGACTATTTGTTCGAACCCAGTGCGCAACACAACACCAACTGCTACTGCACTGACCTTGGAAGAGGAGGAGAGCAGCCATGACGCAATGCCCAATCTCCATCCCAACTATTGATGCCCTACCCTTGGAGGGAGAGAAGAGCAGCCAAGATGGCATGCCTTCGTTCCATTCCAACTGCCACCATACTGACCAGGGAGGAGGAGAGCAGCCATAATGCAATGGCCAGTCTCCATCCCAACTACTGATGCTCTGCCCTTGGAGGGAGAGAAGAGCAGCCAGGATGGAGTGCCCTTGTTCCATTCCAACTGCCACCGTACTGACCTTGGAGGAGGAGAGCAGCCGTGACGCAATGCCCTATCTCAATTCCAACTACTAATGTCCTGCCCTTGGAGGGAGAGAAGAGCAGCCAAGATGGAATGCCCTTATTTCATCCCAACTGCCACTGTACTGACCTTGGAGGAGGAGAGCAGCCATAATGCAATGACCGATCTCCATCCCAACTACTGATGCCCTGCTCTTGGAGGGAGAGAAGAGCAGCCAGGATGGAGTGCCCTTGTTCCATCCCAACTGCCATTGCCTGGCCTTCAAGCAATTGCAGAACAGGCAGATCCAGCTCCATCAATAGGAGAAGGACTATCCTCTCTATCCTAACTGCCATTGCCTTTCAGCGGTTCCATCTTGACCACAACTGACCTGGTTTTGATAGCCAGGCATGCTTAGACCCATCAGTCAAATGCCACTGTCCTGGCCTCAGATGGAGAGAAGAGCAGTCAGGATGAAACACTCTTTCTCCATCCCGACTGCATTGCCCTGACTTCAAAAGGAGAGATGAGCAGCCAGGCAGAACTCAATTATGTCTGTGATGTGGGTGGAAAGCCCTGGCACCATCCCAACTGCCTCTGTCCTGGTCTTGGAGAGTATGCCATGCTCAGCTGAGCTTTGAGATCATCACAAAACCAGAGAACATGGCTTCCACCCCACTTGGTTGCTCCTAATTCTCAGGTGGTGCTGCCCACATGATTTAGGTAGGTATCAATCTTGGTTGTATTTCTTTTAGGAGCATGCCCAGGTACTCCGTGGCTATGTTAGTCCTATGGAAGAAGTCATTTCTCACCCAACCCAGAGTTATTAAGCCCACAAAGGAACCTCAGGCAGGAAGAAACTACTCTCTCTATTGTCTCCCAGTTAATTTGTGCCCAGATCTTTATGTGAAATCTGTATTATATTGACATTCTTGGCTTCTCTTGTGTTTTTCTTCCCCTGTGGTTAAAAGAGATATCATAGTCGGCAGATGAGAGACATTAATGGAGTCTTTTGCTGTCGTCGACAACTAATCGGGATGGCTAAATGGAACCTCCGTGTTCATATGTAGTCTACCTTTATGACTCCATCAAGAGATAAAAGCGAGATGTCAACTCCAAAACCTCATGACTGACCAGGAGGACCTCTATCTTGTCTGGATTGAGCCTCAGCTTGTTAGCCCTCATCCAGTCTATCACAGCTGCTATGCACTGGCCCAGGATCTATGGGAGCTTCCTTAGAATTAGGTGGAAAAGTGTAGTAGAGTTGAGTGTCATCTGCATAGAGGTGGCACCCAACTCCAAAACCTCACGACTGACCAGGAGGACCTCTATCTTGTCTGGATTGAGTGTCAACTTGTTAGCCCTCATCCAGTCAATTATAGCTGTAAGAAACTGGTCCAGGATCTGGGAAGCTTCCTTGGAATGAGGTGGAAAAGAGTAGTAGAGTTGAGTGTCATCTGCATAGAGGTGGCACGCAACTCCAAAACCTCACGACTGACCAGGAGGACCTCTATCTTGTCTGGATTGAGCCTCAGCTTGTTAGCCCTCATCTAGTCCATCACGGCTGCCATCCACTGGCCCAGGATATGCGGGAGCTTCCTTGGAATTAGGTGGAAAAGAGTAGTAGAGTTGAGTGCCATCTGTGTAGAGGTGGCACCCAACTCCAAAACTCTAGATGACCTCACCCAGTGGTGTCATGTAAATATTGAAAAGCAGGGGGGGAGAGAATGGAACCTTGTGGGACCCCACAGGTCAATGGCCAGTGGTCCAAGAAGGTGTCCTTCAGCTTCACCATCTGGGTACGATCCTCCAGGAAGGAGCCATTCTGGAGAAAGCCATTCCAAGGAGCTGACCCAGAAGAATACCATGGTTGATGGTATTGAGAGATCCAGGAGAACCAGCAGGGACACACACCCCCATCTAGTTCTCTGCAGAGGTCATCCAACAAAGCGACCAAAGCCGTCTCAGTTCTGTGACCGGACCTAAACCCAGACTACGAGGGATCAAGATAATTGGCTTCATCCCGGAATACCTGGAGTCGAGAAGCCACCACTCACTCTAGAACTGGCACCGAGAAGCCACCACTCACTCTAGAACCAATGTCAGGAAGCCGGCACTATCTCTAGAACTGGTGTTGAGAAGCCGCCACTCACTCTAGAACTGGCATCGAGAAACCGCTGCTCCATCTAGAACCGGTATTGAGAAGCCAGCAATCATTTTAAAACTGGCATCGATAAGCCGCCACTCAGTCTAGAACTGTCACTGAGAAGAAGCAGCTCACTCTAGAACCAGTGTTGAGGAGCCACCGCTCACTCTAGGACCAGCATTGAGAAGCTGCCACTCCCTCTAGAACCGGCATTGAGAAGCTGCCACACACTCTAGAACCTTGCCCAGAAAAGGGAGGGATTATATCTTAAGATACCAAGTATGAAGGAATAAAATTGGGTTGAATGCCCCTTGTCCAAAAATGTCCAAAACATTTTGCTACCAGCCTCTACATTTAAATCAGGCACGTCGGCACACATTTGCAGGGCTTCGAAGCAGCTGCCTCGAAGCTGTGTTCTCGGCGACGCCACTGCATTTCGCGTTTATGAGATACTGGGTGCCTTATATCTCGCCGATCCTTAATTCTCTCTCCAGCTGCAGGTCTTCCTTTGAGGCTGAGAGAGCGTGACTCCCTCGAGGCCGCTCGACTGATTTCTGTGCCAAGAAGATATTTAAACCTGGGTCTCATCAAGGGCTTAATTACGCCAACACAATTAGACCTCTTTTACATAACGCTTGTCAGAAAACGCTGAGCCCAGCCGCAATGGGAACGTTAAAAACTGCCGGAGGGAAGCGCTCTTTATCTTGAAAGGGCTTGGAGATTTATAGTTTGCTTATTTCACTCTTTAATATCTAGGCTCCTGATAGCATCTGGAGGTTTTCAAAGCACCTCGTAAGCAAAGTGTTCCAGTTTGTAGTGGTTTTGGACTCTGGAAACCTAGGTTCAAAATTCTGTTTGATCATAGAAACTGTCAGGAGAACTGTAAAAATGTGCAAAATTTTATCTGTTCATTGTATGTATTTGGGTTATGTATGTATAAGTAAGTTTGTATCTTTAATTGCTGAAATGCTTGTGATGTGGTTTTGGTTAATTGGGTGCAGGTGGATCTAATTACTGTGGTTATAATGTGTTGCATCTGCCTGCAGCCAGCAGCAGCCTTCAGCGTCCCTCAGCGTTCTGCTATTGCTATAGCCTTGAGCTTTTGGAGAAGCTATGGCGTTTTGGAGTTTGGGACTCTAAATGTTTTGTTTAGGGTCTGATATCTGATGCAAGATGTTTGTTTTCTTACT